ATTATATTCCGAAAAATACGGTATATATAATTGGGTTGCTATAGTTGGTGTGCTGTAAACTTCGGAAGCTATAACTGTGACTGTTATAACGCTTATTAATCGGGATATTAATTCAGATATTTGACCAGAGACGTTTATAGAGTTCGAATATTGCAAACCATTTAATTTCAGCGGATCACATCGGACATAAGTATTTTTACGAAAACATTATATAACTTCAGCGGTGGACAGCTTGAGTGTGGCTGGCGAAAAGAACACAGAGTTAACTAGTTCCCTGTTAAGTGAAATGTATCTATATATCTACTTAAAATTCATACGCTCATCGTGAACCCTCAATAAGATATCAAGGAAGTTCCAGACCAGATAGAGGACTAAATATTGCCTGTAAGTATGTAAAACTTTTTGTGCATAGATCATTATTTGTAATACCTGTTATTGTTTGTATATTAAGATATATTTGTATTACACTGTGTGTATCAGTCTTGTTGGCAAATATCATAAATTGAATACATATCAACATTTTATTTAATTTCTAAATCTAACATGACTTTGGTAAGGTGAGCGTGATTGTGGCCTCACTTTAAACATGGAGTGTAATTTCGGGTTTACGTTGAATAAAGCAAACTGTGGATTTAATTTAACTAGTTTCAATTTTACATTAAATTAATAAACGCAGCTTCCTTTGCTTAAGTTTCAATGAGACTGTAATTCTGGATCAAATTCAAGAAATGTAACCTTGTGGTCATTCTGAGTCAGAGATTAATTTCGTGAAAAATTAAGTACAGAGCTTACAAAAGGAGAATTGTAAAATGAATTTATTGTCTTATTTAACAGGAAAATCGATAGAGAAATTGAAAAGCTTCAAAAAAGTTTGGGGAAGGAGAAGAGGTCTCTCAATCTTCTACAGTGGTGTGGACATCACAACTGCTATGTTAGGTAATCCGATATGTGCTGTTAACATTGAAATACATCACACACAAATGCTCTAAGCTGGCCCTTGAAATTATGAATAATTATGAAATATGTTGAAAAAAGTTTGTTTTTGATTTGGTGATTCATATAGTTTTACTAATTTTTTTCGTCTTCTTTTTTTTTTTTTGTCAGCCCTGACGAAGATCGCTGTTATTATTCTGCATTGTAAGTATTGATTTCTGTTGTTAATTTTATTATTATTTCTTAGATATCACAAAAAGAGTAAGAACAGCTACAACCCAAAGTTGTTGTTTTTTATTATTGGATACCAGAAAAGAAATCATAAGAACAATGCTAGGGTATGTTTGTTTGTTTGAATTTATGCACAAGCTACACAGTGGGCTATCTGTACTCTGACCACCACGGGTATCGAAACTCGGTTTTTAGCGTTCTAAGTCCGCAAAATATTATATTCTTCTAAAAGAACTGAAGCCAGCCACTCAGATTTAGGGAGGCAAACATAATTCAAAACCTAATAGTAAAGAGTTCGATATTTAAAAATTTCTAAGTAATATATTTAAAAATTTCTAAGTAATATATAAAGATATAAACATTACAAATATTGCGAATCAATTATAATATAATAATAATTATCATTCTATATTCTTGTGAACTCCACAATAAAAATAATAACAAACAATTAAAAAATTACAATTTTTATATCATTCTGATATTAATGATTCTTTTTTAAAATGTTTGTATGTTTACTTATAATAATTATAATAAATCCGCAAAAGTTCATAAGGCAATAAGTGACTCGGCAGTAATCTTGTTGGCTTATGACGCTAAAAATCATATTTCGATACAATGGGCACAGCGCAGGTAGCCCGTTGTGCAGCTTTGCGAAAACAAACAAATCATCATTTGCTTCAACGTAAAAAAAGAAAAAAGAAGCAGAACGTATTGCACGTTCTAGAAATCTGTCAATTGTACTTTCACGCATGTACTTTCGACTAAATTAGAACGAAAACATTTGACTTCTTTGCTAAGCTCTACATTAGTGTAAAGTCAGGAAATATGAGGATAATAAAGTATATATGGAGTAGTAATTTCCAGCTGGAAGTTTGTTGAGCGTGTGATTGTTACAATAAAGTAATTGTTTTCAGAACACATTAATGGAACTGTACTGCCTCGTAAAAATGAAAAGGTGAATGGCCACCGTACGAGCCTAACGACTTGTAAATCTTTTTGTTTGTTTAGTACAGAACAACTCGATGAGATGTCTGTGCCCATTATAGGTATTGAAACCCGGTTTTCAACATTATAAATCTTGAGACTTGCCGCTGTATCACTGGTGGCAAGACTTAAGTCTGTAATGACTTTTAGACCTTAATACTGCATGATGAATGATTTGTAGGTCTTATGCTGTAAGCCTATAATGACTTTTAGACCCTAATACTGCATGATGAATGATTTGTAGGCCTTATGTTGTAAGCCTGTAATGACTTTTAGACCGTAATACTGCATGATGAATGATTTGTAGGCCTTATGTTGTAAGCCTGTAATGACTTGTAGACTCCATAATATATGGCTGAAGTTGTAAAAATATCTTAAACAAACTACATTCACTGTTCTCTGACCTCAAGTGGTTTTCAAAAATCCATACAAAAGTCGCTCGTTGTCATATGGCATAAAGTAGCATATATTTTTAAAAACCTCATCTAATTAAATAGCAGACATGACTTGACAGAGCAATGAAATTTGAAATAATTAAACGAGAAATATTATGTTTACTGTGTATATCCTAAACTCCAGCGACCTATCCACTATGGACAATTAATATTCGAGTGCGAGATATACATGTAAGATAGTATGATCCTAAACAGTGGCAACGTTTAGCAATGAGAATAAATTGGCACTGAAATAAGTTTTGAAGTGAATATCCATCACCCACTCTTTCATCTACAACCAATGAGTCGTCAGTCACTACTAGTGTAAAGTGTAAAGATGTTTGCTTTTATTAAGCCGTTTGTTTGTCAGACACGTGGTTTAAACTCGATTCTTGAATAATGAACACATGTAGTCTTAATTTTATGACATATGCAGAGCTTAGACTGATCATTGCTATGGAGTTTGTAATTTTCATTCACATTGTACGTTTAAGAATTGCAAGAAATTTTAGTACCTTTTGCCTATAAATAACGAACATTATTATAAATTTCAATTTTATTATTAATTCATATTTCTCTATATGATTTTGAAGGTTCTACGGCGCCGACTTATCCCAGTGTAAAGTTGCTCTAGACAGATGTGAGCCAGTGTTTGCATACACTGTAGACGGAAACTTTCGTATCATAGTACAGTCACAGGAAAAGGATTTACATCAGTGTGTGTGGCAGTTTAAGTGCCGGTAAGATTTTGATTGCTTATCAGTTTTTTTTTATATAGTTTTATGTATGTATGTATCTCATTCAAAATATATCTTCAAACTGTACGTATTTTGAAATAACAATTTTCTATTTGTTATGGACTATGAATTTGAAGTTTCACCTGATGATAGCTTATTGAGTAAACCGGTAATTAAATCTAATTTCGTACAGTTTTTTTCACCAAACTATTAATCCAAACCCAATAAAGGAAGTTTATTTGAATGTTTAGTTTGAAAAACCATCGTGAAATATATAACTTGCTGACAATCGTTTTGCGAATGTTTGATTTTTTTTTCACGTAGTAATAATAATAATAATATCTGAGGAGAAAGAACACACTGATACACTTAAATAACAGGAGGCCATTTCCTCCTAAAAACAATAGGTTTCTAGTTTCTTCTAAGTTTAGGCATTCTGCTAAATTTTATATATTCCTATATTTCTCTGCAACAGAAGCAAGGATTGGAAAAGTTTAAATTAATTTGAAATGTTTTCAACATTATATCTGTACATCAGGGTATTTTTATTCAGTGTTTAAATAAATAAATAATTTCCCACCCCTCCTCTCTTGTCACGTACAGTGATGCATCCAACAGCAACTGTACGAATACAGGAGTCAGTTGTGGCCACCAACGCCGTAAAGTCGGTCTTCTTTCGTACAATCTGGAGTTTGAAACAATCCAATGTGAAGACTTTTACCAGTGTTGTGATTGCAGGTGTAAGCCTTGAAAGCTCTCTCCCACACGCTGATGACGTGGTCTCTCTAAGGACTAGACCTCTCGCTTGCTGAAGAATGTTTTAGATCTTGATGTATTTTATTTGGATTTTATATTGGGTGTGGAAAAACACAAAAGTTAAAACAACCACACGTGGCTTTTTTATATTACATTTGACATATTTATGCTTAACATATAGAATTTAAATTCACAATTTGAGGAAATCAAATCATCAGGGAATCGTCTATTAAAACAAACTGTTGAAAAATATTAGAATATGTTTGATATTAATAAACCTTTTATAGAGATATTTTATCACTATCAAAAGCCTGACATGTGTTTAGCGTGGTTTCATTAAATATCTTTAAATATCTCTGAAGCTGAAAGTTTTATGATAGACATTTCAAAAAAATATTAATATATTCTTACTTTATGTATATTAAAAAAAAAAGACACTGGTTTTTTGGCTTAATCAACCCTTCGAGTTCCAAGTCTTCTGAAATAACTCTGTTAAATAATGAATTTCGTGTATTCGTCTTTTAGCCATCGTAATATATGTAATGATATACTTATTTGTCGGAATAAAACTATTTTAAAAATTTATGAGCCAATCTAATGTTTTTCATTTTATACTTTATTGAGAATATTATAAGCCACTTATTAAAAGAAGCTAAACTATTCTAAACAACTCAAGTTTGCGTTTATTCGGATCTCTCTGAAAATGCTATTTGCGTATCAGTTCTCTTATTTATTATTAACACCGACTGGATATTCTAAAAAAAAATAACACCAACTAAATGTTACCTTATTAGCCATGAGCTGAATGGAAAAAATATTTAAAAATACTTTTGAATAAATAGGGTTTCTCTCTCTCTCTCTCCCTCTGTGACCTGTTTGATATGTGGGCATATCACGCATTTTCTACCTCTTAGTTGCTAGACAATTTCTTTTTTAATTTTCAGCGTTTCAGGTATATTTTTATTATAAAACAACGAGCAGGTGATTTACTAAATTCCTTTCGTCTTGGCCTGATGGATACGGCTCGTCCTTTCAGCCATGTGGGCGTTATAATGTGACGGTCAGTCCCACTATTCGTTGGTTAAGAGTAGTCCACGAGTTGTCGGTGCAGGGCCTGCGCGCCGTGTTTTGCCGCCCTGTGCAAATGCTGACTGTGCTCTTCATCCCCGTTCTTCCGTCATTATAGGAATTCTACATAATTACGCCCTCAAGAACCATCAATAAAGCTCTTTCTCTCTCTTTCTCTCTACAGTCACTTCATAAGTATTTGATTAAGTGTTTAGACTTAACTTTGATTGTGTTTATTTAATTAATGAGTGGGATTGTTTGCCAACCTGTAACCGGTCACTTTCTTTTGTGTGAAGAATCATTTAAGGGTAGAGAAAATCACAACCCTGATCTATTATACATTATCTGAGTCCATGTTTTTGTAGTTCCTGCAGACTATTCTGAGGGAAGTTGGGGCAGTATGAGAATACCAAAGAATAAGTAAGAAGGAGAAATTTTAGTACCATGACTGCATATACTGTTATTGTGGAGATTTGCTTTCTCTGGACAGGTGTCTGATTATTTTTCTGTGTTCTTCATACTCTTGACCCATAGAATTGGAACTAGGCTATGGAGTGGCATTTTCTGGGTGAAGGACTTATGGTCAGGAGGGAGAGATAGCTGCTATACATGAGAGGTTTCCATGTAGCACAAATGTATCTGGAAGAAGAAGCCATCATAATTCCATGTATGCAGGTCATGATCCATGGTTGACTATGGGTTATATTAAATGTATTGGTGCTATGTAATGTGGCTGTAGAAACAACACGTGAGAGGAACTCTTTATACAGAAAGCAGAAAGTATTGGCACGAACAATAATCTGTCTGAGTCGGGATTCATTCTCGGTGATGGTCTACATTTATGGGCAGGTGGTTTTCCAACTTCATACTTCATTGAATGGGTAGGGGAAGTGAAGGGTGACTGAGACTAGCAGTAATGCTAGGATTGCTTCCATCACATCGAGTCTATGAACAAGTAATCGGTTCCTAACACGTCTGAGGTTGTTGGTTGAGGATTACACAAGCATTTAGATTCAAGTCAGTGGCTAGTGCTCAATGACTTATAGGTTAAAAATATTGATGTATTTGTGGGATCAGATGGCAGATTGGGTCGAATAGAAACCATCCAAATGTACATAGCTACTGAGATGCTCATTCAGTTATAAAACTACCACACAGGTTTTCCTGTAGCACGAGGGATATAGCCAGCACTGAACGGTAGTGGTGTTAAAGAATGGGATCGTAAATCCTCAGAGAGTGCATGGTCATCACTAGTGGTGACTGTCAGAAAGAAGGACAACACGAGCAGGTTCTGTGTTGTTTACTGATGGGGGGACACTATAACATGTGCACATGCTTTCCTGTTGCCGTGGATAGATGAACGTGTGGATTTGTTGAAAGATACCTTAATGGATCTAGATATTAGACCTGGTCTCTAAATAATGACAAGTCGAGCTGGATGACGAGAGCAGAGCCAAAAACAGTCCGACATTTGAGCTAATTCTGTATGAATTCCAAATCTTGTCATTTGGCTTGTATAACACTTTTGCCATTTTTGAGAGGTTAATCAAACTTACACTTAAATGTCTGCAGTGAAACTGATGCCTGGTATATGCGAATGATGTTTTTGTGTTTGGTTCATATTTGAATCTGCTGTTCTGAGCTTATCCGTGATATTACAGTGGATACGAATGACTGGTTTGAAGTTGAAATGTGGGAAATGAGCGCATAAGAATTTCTTGATTACATTTTGAGGAAAAATGACATCTCAACAGACCTTATGAAGCTTGCAGCAGTTTGAGATTGGCCTAAAGCTATGACACATTGAAAAATAAAAAATTCTGTATTATTCTTTGTGACCAATTTCTTTGAGGTAACTGCACCATTGTCTGCTCTCACTAAAACCAATATGCGTTTTAGGTGGACTGAGGAATGTGAGTAAGCATTCATGTTCCTGAATTGTGCTTTACAAGACTGTAAGTTATTATTGGGTACTGATGCCAATGACAGTGGAATCTGTGCAATGGTCTCACAGTTGCAGGATGGAATTAAATATGTAATAGTGTATGTGAGTTATACAGTCATGGCTCCCGCTTTCAATTGTGGTCTTCACGAAGTACTTCTGATGTTACTTGTTTAGCAGAAGGTCCACTGAATAGATCACTCATCATTAAAATGGTTCACGACCTTTAAGAACCTGGATGATATGATAACACATTGGATCACAATGCTGTAAGAGTATGACATGCTCCTACATCATCCAGGTAACCAATACGGAAACACTGATAGATAGTCTCACAGTAAGGTACGAATCTGTTCATTCATTGAATGTCATAATCCAGGATTCCACTAGTGCTGGATGACACGACTCGTACACCAAAAGCTATAGGAACAGCAACTAGGAGATCCCAAACTAGCGTGACCACTCCTTACTGTGCAGTAATGTGAAGTACAGCCAGTGCAGATTGATAAATGTGATAGGGATGCACGCAGTATGTGGCACTTGTATGAGAAGTTACAGGTGAATGAAGACATATTATAGTATTGCTATTTAGTCATCAAGATATGGTTTCCAACCAGTGTTGCAGCTAGTGGTTCTAAGGACTCTGAGGCAGGCTATATTTCAGGCTTTGCATTCTTTAATAACTGGAGGCCATCAGAATGTAACAAGCACTTGTGTTAACATGTGACAACAGTTCTACTGGCTGCATTCAAGTCAAGATATTTGGTTATGTGCTGGTATAGGCATTATACAGTGTGCATCACCTAGAGAAAAAAGTGGCCAAGAAAGGGTAAACACTAGCAAAGTTAGATGGTTCTCCTATACAGATAATAACCCTGCATATCATTGGGCCTCTCCTAGAAAGCGAATGATGTAATTGGTAGGTACTGGTTGTTAATTACTTCACCAAAAGGGGAAAGCTTATCCATTGGCAAATACTTTAGCACTGTCCACAGCTGAGTTACCACAACAATAAGTAACCAGATTTGGTACACCAGGAGAAATTCACACTGAGTAGCGGATTAATTTCAACTGCCAGCTGTTTCTGAATAGTTTGGGTATGATGAAGATGGACACTTCACTTTATCACATTTTGTATAATGATTTAGCAGGATGAGTAAAAAACTATCAAGCAGGTGCTTACGAAGTTTATTAGTCATAGTAAAACTGACTGGGACAAAGATGTGTCATAAATCATGATAATGTATCATGCAACACAACATAGTTCTACTGGTTGCTTACCAAACATGCTCATGTAGGGTAAAAAATTAATTCTCCTTGTAAATGTGACGTACTGACCACCTCAGCTGCAAGTGTCCCATAATATCCACAGGAATATGTAGAGTGGCTGCAAAATGTATTAGCCAATGTGCATACGTTCTTACATCAGCAGTTTGGAAAGGCTGCCATATGGCAGAAGAGATGCTATGACAAGACAGATGACGAGTATCAAAGTATAAATTTCAGCATTAGACTGAGGCTGACTTTCGTATGTGCTAATGGCATGGGAGTCATTTAGCTCTAGCTTGTTAGGTTCATATCTAGTACGACAACAAATTGGTCCATTGACATATGATATACAGTGACCATTTCGTGTGTGTAAGTGCTTGAAACACATCAACAAGTGGCAAGCATATGCTATGGACATGCCTCTCGTGCACTGCTTTGATCAGAATTTGAAAGTTGAAACCAATAAGTTGGAGGATGATGAGAGTTGCAACATCTTAGCTTACCTGATGATGAGGAAGGAGCATATAATACTTATTTGGCAGTACACGACAAGACAAGTCAGATAAAGAGGTGCCAAATAACACCAGTGGTCAGCTGATTTGCCAATGTACTCCCATTTCCCCAACTGGTAAGGCTGAGAGTAACTGCTAGATCAGCAGCTAGGATAGTCTATTGGTTGAGAAACCAATGCTTCAAAGGAAGTAGCATTCCTTGCTTTCCAAGCTATTGGGTGGCATTATCCAACAAAATGTATGGTCTACATTTTGTGACTGCCATTTGATTATCAGCAGTTAGGACAGTCAATGGTTGTAAGATGATTGGCTGGAAAAAAGTGATAATTCTTGCTTTCCAAGCTAACAAGCACTATTCACCATAAAATGTATGTACTACCTAGTGTGATTTCCACTTGATTATCATCAGTCAGGATATACATTTGGTTGGGAACCAATTGCTGAAAGGGCATTGTGACTTTTGCTTTCTTAGTTACTAGATGGTACTGTCTTGCCAAAAATGTATAGACTGTATTTTGTGACTACTACTTGATCATCAGTAAGTTAGGATTATTGTTGGTCATAAGGTTGATGGGAACAAAAGAGTGTTGCAACCCTTATTTTTCAAGCTATCGAACAGAATTTTGAAGAATATCAGCAACAGTTGCTCGATTATTGCACATTTAGGATAGCTGGTGTTTATATGTGTAATGCCTAGAACATATCTACTTTGCCCAACTGGAGCTGTCTTCTGGGAAATCAAAAAGTCAGATGAACCATTGAGCACTTTTCTCCAGTAAAACAGTCATCCACTG